GTAAGATGAACGCTGTGGTACTAAAGTTGGAAGTTAATCCAGATGAAGGCTCCACTGTAAGATGAACGCTGTGGTACTAAAGTTGGAAGTTAATCCAGATGAAGGCTCCACTGTAAGATAAACACTGTGGTACTATGTTGAAAGTTGAAGAGTGTGGTTACAACCCAAGAAGTAAATGAGATGATGCTAGACATATGGTCTGAATACTGACCTTGTTTTTGCTTAACTTTACAGAATTAAATTTTCGATGTTGGTTGAACTATTGATCACTATCAGTGATGGAAGAAATGTTTAAAGTGGTATAACAAGTCATGGAATATCTCTATATATTCACACATTACAAAACTAATACAGTCTGTTTTGTACTAACAACACTAATTGACACAAGTCAAAGTATAGATTGCCGAAACTGCCTACTGTTTTTATTAGGGATACAGATTGATAAATCCATTGACAAAAATGGATGTTTCATTTCACGTACTCTTCAACGCATCCAAAACGCTGAGTATGTAAAGTAAATGTTACTAGATTACACGTAAAGTAATGAAAATAAATAGCCTTTACTACTACATTATTTATCTCATCATTTAATCATCTCTTGAGGGCTCGATCCTTTAATGATTGGTTTTATCTCGTCTTTCCCTGAGGGATGTTTATATGACTGGATTGTGTTAGGTTCTGTACATTAAAACCTAACGATGACCAGTATGCTAGAAATGATTCTCAGGGGAAGACGAGATAAAACTAATCATTAAAGGGATGTTTATATGACTGGATTGTGTTACGTTCTGTACGTTAAAACCTAACGATGACCAGTATGATAGAAATGATACTTTAATGCAATTCCATTGCATCTTTGTTTAAGTAAAAAGAACGTTTTCACCTTCAAACATCTTAAGTTGAACAGTAAACTATTTTATGTAGCAATACAGAGAGATGGAGGCCAAGGTCAGCGAGACCCTGGGCAGCATGCAAGAGGATCTCAAAGGAACTTACTACTCTCTGACTGGAATGGACAAGGCGACGCAACAGAAGCTCATAGATGACCATTTCCTTTTCAAGGAAGGAGACAGGTAAGGTTAAGGAATGAAAAATTTTGGTAGTACCTTATTCTCCAGTACGTTACATAAATGTACTTTATACAAATTGTTTGAACAATGTTTTTACAATGTAAAAGTGTTGTTAATTTACACTAGTGGTTAATTAGAAATTTGATGGTGAAGTTTTGAAAAGATCGTGTGGATCCGTCATTGAACGGGCTTGTAAGCAAGCGTATTGAATTCGGGCTTCCTGACGTTACAGCCCACCATTTCATTGTACGTCTGTAACTATATAATTTTGACCTCACGTAGATTTGTACACTTCTGTAGTGCCGTTATCATAAATGTGTATTTATGAAGGTAACGTGTAGGATTAAAATTGTCTAATAAGTCAACCAAAATGACTATCAGAACAGTGTAAGAAAACCTGTAATAATTCACCGCTTCCATTAGGTTCCTTCAAGCAGCCAATGCCTGCCGTTTCTGGCCGACTGGTCGAGGTATTTTTCACAACGATAACAAGACATTCTTGGTGTGGGTGAACGAGGAAGACCACTTGAGGATTATTTCTATGCAGAAGGGTGGAGATTTAAAACAAGTCTACTCTCGGCTAGTTCACGTAAGTCTCGTTACACGGGTCTGCTCTCGGCTAGTTCACGTAAGTCTCGTTACACGGGTCTGCTCTCGGCTAGCTCACGTAAGTCTCGTTACACGGGTCTGCTCTCGGCTAGCTCACGTAAGTCTCGTTACACGGGTCTGCTCTCGGCTAGTTCACGTAAGTCTCGTTACACGAGTCTGCTCTCGGCTAGTTCACGTAAGTCTCGTTACAGGGGTCTACTCTAGACCAGCTCAGGTAAGTCTCGTTACAGGGGTCTACTCTAGACCAGCTCAGGTAAGTCTCGTTACAGGGGTCTACTCTAGACCAGCTCAGGTAAGTCTCGTTACAGGGGTCTACTCTAGACCAGCTCAGGT